GAGAGAGGGACTTGTAGGAAGATGTGAAGAGGTATTGAAGGAGACGGTTGGAAGGGAGAGAGTGGGAGAGGAGAACGGGGAGTAGTTTTGGACAATGAAAGGTGTGAGACAGGGTTGCCCGCTAAGTCCCTTATTGTTTATTTTGTTGTTGGCGGACTTGGACGAGGAACTAGCAAAGGGTTGTTGGGGAGGGGTAGAGCTGGACGGGGGCGGGAAGGTATATTCGTTAGCGTACGCGGACGACTTGGTTTTGCTGGCGAGGGGGGAAGAGGAAATGAAGGGGATGATAGGGAAATTTGAAAGGTATATTGAGGGAAAAGGGTTGGAGGTGAATACGGGAAAAACGAAAGTGATAAGGTGTAGGGCAGAGAGAGGTAGAAGAAAGAAAACGAAGTGGTGGTGGATGGGAAAAGAAATAGAGGAAGTGACGAGGTATAAGTATTTAGGGTATGTGGTGCGGGCGGATGGAGATCAAAGAGGTCATGTGGAGGAGAGGGTGGAAAAGGCGGCGAAAGCAATGGGACAGGTGTGGCGTATAGGCAAGTGGAGGTTTAGGAATCACTGGAGTAGAAGTTTGTGGTTGTTCGATAAGCTGGTGTGGCCGGTGGTAAGCTATGGAGTGGAGATCTGGGGATGGGTAGGGAGGGAGGCGGTGGAGCGACTGCATGAGAGGTACATGAGGTGGGTGCTAGGGGTGTCAAGGAGGGTGCCAGGCTATGTGGTAAGAGAGGAGTTGCAGAGCGATGCGTTGGAAGGGAGAGCGGGGATGAGGGCATGGGGCTATGAAAAGAAGCTAGAAGAGGGAGGAGGAGGAGAGCTGGCGAGGAGATGTAGAGAGGAGATAAGGAAGAGGGCACGGGCAGGTAAGAGCGGCGAAGGATGGGAAGATGAGAGAAGAAAATTTTATGAGGGAAGAGGGTGGAATGCGGCGGAGGTGGAGAGGAAGTGGGCGGAGGGTGAGATGAGAGGAGAGGAGATGGTTAGGTTAGAAAGGATAAGGCAGGACGTGGAAAGGTGGAAAAAGGTGGTAGAGGCGAAAGGAAATAAGGAGTACAAGTTTATAAAAGGAAAGGGGGTGCCGGGATATTTGAAGAAAGGGGGGGTGGAAGGGAGTTGGCAGAGAGTGGCGAGGTTCAGGCTGGGTGAGGAGATGAGAGGGACCAGTTAATGGGAGAAGGAGGAGGAAAAAAGGTGTAGGATGTGCGGGGTGGAGGAGGAAACTTGGGAGCACGTATGGGAAGTATGCACAGCATGGGGCAGGGAAAGAGGCTGGCAGGAGGCAAGGGAGGAGGTGCTAGGAAATCAAGGTTTAGGGGGAAGGTGGATGGTGGAAATAGAAAGGTGGAGAGGAAAATTGGGGGAACGATTGGGAGAAGGAGCAGAGAGGGAGGAACCGGATGCGGGAGGAGCAGGGGGGCAGAATGGGGAGAATAGTAGTGTTGGTGCAGCGGAAACGGAGGTCGAAAGGTGGACGGATGGATGTATGGATGGATGAAGTGGGGCTCTCTCTCTCTCTCTGTCTCTCTGTGTATGTATGTCTGTATGTCTGGTGATCTGTATGGATCAGGGTTTAGGGATATAGGAGTTAAAGATAAGTGACGTTTGTGAACGGAGCGGGAGTCCGCGCTGTACCCCGCATAGAAGGGAAATAAACAGCTTTATATATATAGTAAAATAGTATTTAAAGGTAATATTTGTAGTTATTAAATAAATTTTTCACCTTGTTCCTAAATATATTTAGATACGATATTATAACCAACATTCGATTAAAAAATATTTTCAGGGAAGCACTTGGCATCTGTCGGAATCTATCCATTGGATACACGAGATTCGCAAGAACGTTGGATTTTTCATGGATATTCTCTACAAACACTTCTACGGGGAATCACAAAAACTGGCAATTATTGGACACATGCCCTCTATCCGTTCAGAAAAGACTGTTGTTCACCACGATCAGTAACATTCGGCGCAGGGGAATCTGATAAAATGTATACGTGGAATTATATATTGTACGCTCTGAAAGTCTTAAGAACTCCCCAATTCTATGGTAATAAACCTGCTCCAACAAGCATACCAAATATTCAGGTATTTTATTTTTAGTTAAATGAATATTATCAATGGTCAAATTCGTAATGTAAAAAACGTACATTTTTTTAAAAAACAAAGTTGTATGTAATACAGTAAGTTTAGCATCTGTTTTATACAAGTGCACCTGGCAAGTTAAATAGAATGAATTTAAATCGCGAACCCTATTTTCGAATTGGGTAATTATGTATCTTATCTATGGAAATTATTACATTTGTCCACTCTAATGAGAAATGAAGATGGTGTAAACGTGTTTTGGTTTCTGCACTCACTGCTTGGCTGGCAGTATAAGAACGGTCACGCGATTAGTCATCATCTTTTCCCTAGTGCTAAAGTTTACTTGCCATTAAAATAAATTATCTTGAATAAACCACGATATTGTAATAATATCAATATAATAATATTCACTTGTGACAACTACCCAGATAACGACGTATGAATATAAATATGACAGAAATCGCGCAGGAAGGCATTATATGAATTGCCGGTAAAACCTGTAACGTATTTTCTTAACTCGACACCGATAGCAAAAGATCTGAGAACTAACTGCCTTCAAGAACCAACCTACGTTAACTTCGGCTGTCCAGCCTTCTTTCATGTATCCGTTAGCTAGGCGGGCGCCAGCCAATTTTGTTGTCGCCGGGAACTGACAAGCCGGTATGACCTGGGAGTTGAAATGGAACAGGCCCAACTCCACTAAAACGAGAGCTCTGATGGAGCCTATCAGAAAACGAGATAACTTAACGGATCCTATCAATTGTTGAGGACGCGTAAAATCGAGAAAACAACCGTAAATCAACCGTAGGTGTTGATCTTTAGTGTCTCGTAAAATCAGCAAACGCAACTGGATGCACGAATGGGAGCGGACGGTTATAGAAATGCATCGCCGCTCAGGCTGTTAGGTTGAGGTAGAGAGGATCGGAGTGAGAGTCAGGCAAATAGTGCTGGATACGGAGAGCAACGGATCGAGAACGTAACAGAACGAAACGGAACTATCAAACCGAAATCCCTCCACCAATTAATAAATTGGGTGATCTCACCAGAGCTGGTGCAGCTAATCCGGGATGGTCGAAAACTGTATCCAGAGGACACTCGGGTGGGCACTGCATTAAGGCACAGCATCACACCTCCGAAACATACTCAGAATATCCTAGATATCGCGAGAGCAACGCGAGGACGACATAGGGGAGAACCTTCTATACCATATCGAAACACTGCTACAAAAACTATCAGCAGATAGCACGGGAGCGCGACACTTCGGTTGGTACCATTCTGATTGGTCGAGATATTTATAGTCGATAACTCTTCTTTTCCCTCAAGTCGTTCCTTTAAACCAAATTGAGAGCGTTCCTTAGCTAATCGGTACGTAAGAACTGGGAGCCTCCACGGTCGCTTCCCCAAAGCATCGGCTGACAGCTGGGGACCACAATCTTAACGGGGGTCAGGGGGTTCATACCCTGCCCTTAAACGTATCAAAACTCTATCTCCGCTCGCTCTACAGCTCTTTGCCTCTTTTTACCGGGGCACTGATATTTCACCCGTGCTTCTGCCGATCCGTGGAGACATCTCTGTCGAGACTATTTCCTCACAGCAGATTCGAGCACCTTGACCTCGACTAAACAATATCAAATCTTCCGAGAGCATTGGCATAACTATACGAATCAACCTGAGAGCGTAGCTTTTGAGCAGCTTGGCGACTCGAAGGGAACCGAAAAACGAGAAGGTTATCTAAATTGGTCACCGAAGTCGCCTTTTGACCGTGGATCAAAAAATCACGTCACAAACCATAGGAATATACCTCCACATTTGTTGCCATATTTGCAGCAATACATATTATAGTTCAAATGTTAAGTAGCAAACTAATAGCAAATTGCCTGCAAGGCTTACAGTGTTGTTTTACTATCTAAGAATGAATCAATGACGATTCACTGATAATCGCAATTCTAAGTAAAATACTGAAAATCACATGTGTGATATAGGAGCGGAAGTAAGGTGAGGTGACTAAATTGTCAGCACTTTTGGGTAACTATGTTTATTGTTGAGCTGGGGAGTCTTGTGCACTCTGAGGCGGTCGAGATACAAGGGAGTCCGTGCTCCGCAAGCACGTGTACAAAAGTTTGTGAGCCGCACACGAGAAGCTCGCGCTTATCGACTAGCGATATATCACAATTCCTCCCCTTTTCCTGGGCACGTCTTACATCAAGTTTTACTCAATAATCGGGGTGAACGGCGAGGAGATTGCCTAACCTTCCCCGTAGTTACAATTTGGTCGGTATTGCGTTTCCGTACAGTATCAGGGGCCACCCTGACTTCAAATGTCGAGGGGGACAGACGCTTTGCAATTTCGCCTGTAATTCTCTTTTCTTCATGCGCACGGTGATTACCCGTGAATACGCTATCCCCTTCGCGCGGGTTTACATTACGCCGACCCGCGTGTGTGTCCGCTTGTGTCTGCTGACTTTTCGCTACTTTGTCGCTTGTCCGTGGACGCATCAAATCAAATCAAGTTTTAATTTCTCGTCTGTAAAAAAGCCATGCAGGACTTTTTTTTGTCGTTGTGTGAGGTGTAGCACGATAGTAATATAAGAAGAGATTTAACGCGTTATCCAGCTTCTCTCCCTCTTTTACAATTTTCGTTATCGCATGTTTGAAAGTTCCTACAAAGTTCTCGGCCGCGCCGTTCGATGCGGGATGATAAGGCGGAGAGAAACAGTGTTTGACCGTATACGATTTCAACAAATTTTTAAATTCCATGCTCGTGAATTTTACCATGCCCATGTGCGAAGCATGAAGTTGATCGAGTATTGCTACGCGTAATACATCTGGTATGACAACTCAGTATCCCCAAATAATGCAATGACCCTCTACTGACAATTCTAATTTTCTTTGATAATATTTTTTGTCTTCGTCAGATAGTTTGCTCGACGTTTTAGGCCAGCCGCATACAATGTACTTTAATAATATGTTTTTCAGTACCGGGTCGCGTTTTGTTTCTAACGCTATTTCCTTCCAATCTATGCATTGCATACCTTCTTTTATATAACATACAGATGTGAAATCTACCGTAAAAGTATCTGAATTATCTGCGATAGGTAGTCGCGACAGGGCATCGCACTTTCCGTTTGCCTTCGAGCGTATATATTCGATTTTGTATTTGAACCCGGATAAAAAACATGTTCAGAGCTGCAGTCTGCTTTCTGCCGTAAGTGGTCTGCCTGTCTTTGGGCCCAAAATATATTCTAGTGGCTTATAATCGATACGAAGCGTAACCTCTTTGCCGTACACGAAATCGTAATAACGCGAAAATCCGCATACGATCGCGCTTACCTCTTTATCAATTATTGCCCTGTTCATTTCCTTTTTCGGTATCCTTTTTGATGCGTAGGCATTTCGTCTTTCGGTACCGTCCTTATATAAGTGCGAAAGGATCGCTGAGAGTCCGTACGGTGATGCGTCGCATGCCAATATGGCTTTCTCGCGGTAAAATTAATTCCAATTTTACCCAAAGAAAGCTTTTTCGCATGTGTTGGACCATTTGAATTCTTTTTCATTTGCGCAATCATGAAGAGGTTTTAGCCTATCCAAGCACTTTTCAATGAACCTTGCGTAGAAATAATTTAAACCTAAAAACGATGCTAATTGCTTATGATCTACCGGTCTAGGTGCTTCTACTATTGCTCGTATTTTAGATTTTGAACCTTGCATAAAAATTAATTAAACCTAAAAACGATGCTAATTGCTTATGATCTACCGGTCTAGGTGCTTCTACTATTGCTCGTATTTTAGATTTTGAACCTTGCATAAAAATTAATTAAACCTAAAAACGATGCTAATTGCTTATGATCTACCGGTCTAGGTGCTTCTACTATTGCTCGTATTTTAGATTTTGAACCTTGCATAAAAATTAATTAAACCTAAAAACGATGCTAATTGCTTATGATCTACCGGTCTAGGTGCTTCTACTATTGCTCGTATTTTAGATTTTGAACCTTGCATAAAAATTAATTAAACCTAAAAACGATGCTAATTGCTTATGATCTACCGGTCTAGGTGCTTATACTATTGCTCGTATTTTAGATTCTAACTTGTGTAAACCGTTAATATCTATTATAAAATCTAGTGTTTCGATGCTATTTTTCATAAATTTGCACTTATCTTTACTGAGACGAAACCCGTTTTTCTGTAAACGATTACCTACTTCAGTTAAATTCTTTAAATGAGGAACGTCGATTTTGCCTGTAATAAATATATTATCGAGGTACGCAATTACGTGAGGAATGCCCTGTAGACATTGCTCCATTTTATTTTGAAAGTCACCCGGGCCCGATGCTACGCTTTCTGGCATTTTCTTGTAGCGAAATAAACCTTTGTAGATATACAAGGACCTCTGAGCTTGCGTCCGTGCTAAGTTAGCGACGTTGGCGCCCCCTGTGGATGGTAAGTTAGGACGATTGGGCCCCGTATGAAAGATTTCTGCTTACCGACGCCTCCGGAATTTTGAAGAGGGTGAGCGCGCACGAGTCGACGCAGCCGACCCCTTTCATCGGCTGACGTCAACGGAAGGGGGCCCTAGTTTTACGTCAGGTATCAGAGATTTTACGTCAGGTATCAGGGATTTTACGGCAGTTTCAGAAATATTACGGCAGGTATCAGGGATTTTATGGCAGATTGTAGGAATTGTGTGGGTCGAATCTAGGAATCACTCAAAAAATGGAGAAATTCATTTAAAACGGTACATATTTTAACTCATCATAGTCATCCTCATTCACAATAACAATAATTTGTATCTGTTCGTTTGATTCTCTCTTCCTGCTCTTGAATTCTCAGGCTGCTGACGTTCACCGGAGGATGAGTTTCCTAAAGAACCTCTCGCAGTGTTACCCTGATCCGATCTAGTAGGATTTCCATGTGTCGCTGAGTTTTCGAACGAATTATTGTTTGCGAATGTGATGCGACGATGCCTTTCAGTATCAGGGAGATCTGAACTACGCAGCAACTCA